TGAGTACATGATAATTTTCTAAAATTTGTGATGAGTAGTACATCTTACGATTATTATCAACAAAATACCCTTTGTTGAAAATAACCATTACTTAAAAGAAAGAAAGTGAACTGAATAACTGCTTTTTTCGGCATCAGAATAATATTTTTCTCAGTGTAGTTTTTATAAGATACATAAAAATAAGAGAGAACTCTTTTTATGCATTCTTCTTTTGAATTCTATACAATTTCATTTTACAGAAAAATATCATTTCTATTGCTAAGAAAAGCGATTATTTAATTTATTTTCCTTCTTCTTAAGTAATGGTTATCCTCAATAAAAAATATTTTCTCTTGATAATAGTCTTGTTAAATATTAAATTTACTGTGATTCAGAATGTATCTAAATAAATTTGATGTTTATGATGAATTAGTGATAGAGATTTGCGGATATATAAACTCTCTTATAAAATACTTGAAACAAATAACATTTACTTGAATGTAATATATATTTTTTTGTGTATATACTGTTGTTTCCTTTCCTTTTTATTTGTTATTTCTTTTATGAAAAGGTAGTTATTTGTGTACCAGTCGCATACTAAAAGTGTTATTATTGTTGTTATTATTCTAGAGCATCGAAAGGTGGACAATTGATTCATTGACAACATCGAGAATTTAAAATAATTCTCTAATAAAATAATAAAATAATTTGAGGATCCTTCTATTTTCTTTCTTATAATTTTTTAAAAGATTAATTAATAATTACTCAACAAACATATTATAACAAATAAATTTGTTATAAACATATTATAATAAATAAATTTGTTATAAACATATAACAAATAAATTTGTTATAAACATATTATAACAAATAAATAACAAAATTATTGCTAGTTAAACATATGGTAACAAATACGGCGTTTTCTCAATAAATGGAAATGAGTATTGAGGTAACAGAATAACGTGAATTGTGACTGCAAGATCGTCGGCGTTTCGCCTTAACGAAATGACACAACGGAGTGACACTTCTCAGTTATATTTACGAGACAACGCGCTCCTCAGACACCGTGTATATGTTCTTCGTGAATCATATCCTCTCTTTCCTTCTAATCGAGCCCGAAGATAACGCCGCCGTTTTCCACCGTCTATCGTCCATTACGGCGTGTCCCGATTGTAATGGCTCCTCGGGATACTCAGATCGCCGTAATTTGATCCCCGTTTTAAGATAAGGACCGTATTAACTGCGCGATGGCGTAAGCCACCACCACCACCACCGCCACCACCACCACCATCACCACCACCACCATCACCACCACTACCACCATCACTATCAACCCCTTCCCCCGCTTTATCCCGCGAACACTTTCCGTTGTAAGCACGCGGTCAGACGGGAGTGTGGTACGACGCGTTTCGACCGCATCGCCGATGCCATTAACATTCTGATCACTCGCACAATGTCGCTCGGCGCTAATTATACCTAACGAGATTCCCTCTAAACCATCTATGCGTAGTTAGGTTTATAATCCGCGAAGAGGCAATAGCCAGTCAGAGTTAATTAATGTGACCTTAAGTTGAAATTACATCAAGTCGTATGTCTGGTACATGTTACAGTGAGAAGAAAGAAAACAAAAGAATAGCACGTTTATTTCACAAAAAGTAAATTGTGAACTTTAAACTCACGACATTTTTCTCTTTTATACGGAGAGAATATATACTGTATAGTTTCTTTTTCATAAAATTTTTATAAATTCTTTCCAATATTATCATGTACTCTAATAATGCAGGGGAAAATTTATTTTGCTAAGAAACATATATGCACATATACTTTTTAAATTTCTTGAAGTGAAACTTCAAAATAGAGTCGAGTCATTCGAATTCGAGTTATTTTCCACTTCTATAGAGCGAATTTTCCACTATAAATCGTTGAGTGAATATTTTCACTCAAAAGCGAATCTGATGTAAGTAGTTCATTAAGTTCTGCGATTTTTTTGCCTTAAATTGAAACACAAATCTACCGCAGAACTTAATGAACTAATATTTCATCATCAGAAGAACATACTTCAATCAATTAAAATATTCGCTCATGTGGAGCTCAGAATCTATTTCAATCTTAGATGAAACATCCATTCTTATAATTTTGAGTGGCAGTACCTTTATTATCACCTCGAGTAAAAATACTGTCATTTTTCACTCTAAAAATTTAGAGAGTAGTAAAATTTTTAATAGTGAACTTCAGTTTCTAACATATATATAAATAGTACATATGAAACGGAAGGATAATAAATCAAGGTAGAATACCGACAAAATTCACTGGTTACAAAATTCTACGATATTTTCGCTACGAAATTCTCTCCGCGTGCAAATGATTCAGTTAGGAAATTTACAGTAAAGCGTTTTTTTGTAGCCGCAATTAATTAGAATTACGTCACAGCGTAATCCTCCTCCAATTTATATCAATGGCAAACGAGTTTTATTGCAAAAAACTTCTCTTTGATATTCATATTCTTTTTTATTTCACTTTAGATATCATTAATTTGGATACCCGTGCCGTTGTGCCGGTTATTACGGACTTTTATTATGGTTACGTGGAAATTCACGAGTTTCAAAGCACATTCGCACAATTAACTCTTGCGCGCTCGAATCGACCGAGCCGAAGTGCAAGAGGATACACGCGCCGTCACACGCGGATGCACCTGCTGCGTCGCGCGGCACACGTCGTGCGGAGCAGTGCCGGTGCAACGCGAAACCGTGGTGGTTTAACGTCGCGCGTTCAATATTGATGCGTCGCGGCGCGCGCCCGTGAATAATTTGTAAATGCAAAAAGAAACGGCCGGCGGGAACGCTCCCGGGAGAGCGCCAGAAGGTGGATGCGTTTTGCGCGACGTTAAATTTCGCGGCGACGACCCTACGCACCCCCGCCGTTCGGTCACTTCCCTCGCATCCCTTGGCCTCCGGGTCTCGGAAAAAAACGCGTTCGTGCGCTCGTTAGTTGCGACACACGGCGGGAGGGAAAAATTCGTTCGTGCCGTCCGGCACGATTTTTCGGCCCGGCCGCGCGCCGATTAATTAATACCCTTTTCCTCCTTTTCTCCCGCCTCCACTGCCCCTGCTCTCGCACTGTCTCCTCTTCGGGTTGCGTCCGTGACACTTCTGGAGCACATCGCGGACGACCGCTGACAGGCTGCGGCGGCGGTCCCAGCGAACGGAAGGGACGTCGGGCGCGCCCAAAATTGATGGTTAATTCAAAACCACCGCGGGGGCTGCAACTGAATTTGACCGAGGCAAATAACGGGGCACGAGCGGCGCGACGGGAGTGTCAGGGGTGCGGCGACGGCCGCGGCCTGTGCTGCGGGGCTAGGGGAATAGGACGCACCGCGGCGGGAGGAATGGACGCGGCAGCGGTGCACCAGGTTGATTCGCGGGCTGCAGCTGTAAACACGAATAATGGAGAGTACCGATCGGTAAACTGTGTGCTCGGCTTCGTCGAGGGTGGTTGCGCGCGCGAGTCCCTATCATCCTATCCTCTCCCATCCCCTTCCGCCGCCCATCTGCGCGCCGTCCTGGCCCTTGATCCTCGCGAGCTTTTTCCGGTATTCTCTGCACCCACAATCGCGGTGCGTGGGCGATGTGTCGATTACGTACAGCACACGATGCGTGCCGCACGCGCGTGTTTGCCTGTCGACCAACGCGCTCCGTCAGTCATGCGACCACCAACACCGAAACCGATCTGGATCTTGCGCAACAATCCACATGGAAAATTTCGTGGGATCCGCAACTGGGATCCAGTCCGATTTTTTGAAGCAAGATGTACTCTGCTCGGTAAATCTACGCGGTCAAAATCTACGCGTTATCAGGTCAAAAGTACAAGAAAGAAAGACATTAGGTTGGATTTACCAAATTTGAACGGTGAAATATGAACGAATCAGAAAGTTACGGTTGAAGTTACGAGAATTCTTGTATCACGTTAATCAGAAACGTTGTTAACTTAAACAGAATTCCGGTAATTTCAATCATAGTAAAAGTCTGGTGGTAACCAGAATTTCCTGACTTGTTTATATTTCATCAGACATTAATCAAACTAAACTTTTTTTTTTTATGAATGTGTGAAACACACGGTTCTAATTGGGGAATACAAATGGATTCCACTTGATTTGTCGAAAGTTTTCCTAAATATTTCTTCTAGTTTACATTTGATATTAGAATTGAACGTATCGAACATAAAGATTGAATATTTATATTTTGTCATTATGGATATTTAAAAAAAAAGAAAAGTTTGGTTATTAACATGAAGTTTGCGGTTGTGAATAAACGAATCAACGCATTTTGGTTAAAGGAAACGGAATTTCTGGTTCTTAAAATTAAAAGGTTATAAGTAACCTAAGAATTCTGTGTTCTTCAACCAAAACGTGTTAGTCCGCTCATTAAAATCAAATTTTAGGTTGATATAATCGAATTTTTCACCATGTATAGATACTTAAAGTCCTTAATTTTGTTTTACTGAATTCAATGGTTGATATAAAAAGGAAATTTCTGTGCTATTCTATCCTTTTTGAGTCAATTTTACTTGAATAAAAATGTTTCTGTTTCGATTTTAAATAGAGAATCTATATTTATGATAAGAATAGAATTCTCACAGGGAGATAATCTGTTTTGCGGTAAACTCGAGGTATTCCGTTTGGAATCTATGATATGCTTTTGGAAATATCTCGAGGAATTTCTATGCAGTAACGTTCGCGACGATAATTTCTCTGGTTGATCCAAAATAGATGTGTTCCGGAGGCGAAAGTCGTTCAATTCGATTGGAATCCAAATAAACAAGTGAATTTTTAGCCTCCGCGACAATCTGATATCCTCTCGCGAACTTCTCTTAGTCGCGTCTTCTTCCCAGCTACAGTTTATCCGCCAGTAGCGACGGAAAAGATAAGGCAAGAAGAGCGAATGGAAACGTAATTCCTTTTTTTTCTTAGAAAAGCAAGCGATCGAGTACATGCAGCTCAGTGCAATACTCTCTTCTGCTTTCAGCTATTTCGAGAACGCCCAGAGGCTTTCGAAAGCTTTCCGTGATCGACCTGCTACGCCATTGGAGACTGCGGTATGGTGGACGGAATACATCGCCCGTGGCAACGGCGGTTCTTACCTGCACAGCTATGCCGCGGATGTCGTTTGGTATCAATATTATCATATCGACTTCGCGCTCATTTCGATTATCGTCATCGCGTTGCTCATCTACATCATCTACCGGCTGATCAAGCTGCTGCTATGGCTGCTCCATGCTGTCAAAGGAATGCTGGGAAGTGGAACCAAAAAGACGAACAAGAAGGAGGATTAATGACGACGATGGCGGACGTTTCGCCATAGGGACAAGAATTGAAAGGTCGTTCTACATTAGTTGCAAGCAGCTAATCGCACGATCGCATTGTCGCAAAACGCAAAACTTTTGCGATATGAGCTTCTAGATTTCAATCGTTAATCGCATGTCATAGCGAATCAGAGACGAGAATGTTTCATTGACATCCATGAGGCTCTGTCACAGGAAAGAGGAACCGATGTCAAGATGAACATAGAGCCATGTGTAAACCGCATTCTACAATAAACTATTAGTCATAAGTCTCAAGCAAATTGACCAATCACAGTCGGCTATTTTAAAAAATAATCGACTATGGTTGCTCAATTTGCCTATGACTTATGACTAATAGCTTATTGTAGAATGTGCCTAACAAATATGTAAAATATGAAAGTAAACAAACAAGGACTGACAGGTAAAGTTGACGCTATAAAGCTATATATGTGAAGCTCGACGCTGATTGGTTGTCGCAAGATCGCAGAGACGCAAACTTTGAACTTTAGCAAACTTTGCGATTACTGCTTGCGATTAGATTACAATCGGAAACAGTGCTGCTTGCGATCATGCGATTGGCTGCTTGCAACTAGTGTAGAACCAGTTGTAAAGAATTTTGTAGCGAACACGGCGAAAAACAAACGTGGTTTTTTCCCGTAAAAATATCAAAATTTGATTTCGAATTTTGAGCCGTTCCACAAAAAGAATAAAAGAGATAGGACGAAGCCGCCTTTTTTCATTTTCGCATGAAACCGTAAGGAACGTTGCATATACACAACGGTATGTTTTTAATAAATAATTGTAGAAGTATCTCTTTCGATATACATTGGTTATGAACAATTCGTGTTATAGACTTTTCTTCATACGAGCTGCTAGATAATATTAATTAGTACAACAGATGCTATTAACGTAAGCTAGCAATTAATAATTGTAATATCAGAAATATCGGTGGGAGAATGAGAATAGTCGAGACATACAGAAATATATATCAGCACTGCGAGAGTTTATTCGTCGCAAAATTCACCAAGAGACAGAAATATCTCTTACTATTGCGCAATATTATGAAATCTCTCGTTTCGCGCGGGAAACGAGAGATCTTATCGCGATTATTTTTCGTTCGTTTTACAATTTAGTGCGACGTTTTTCCAGGAAGGGACCAATTGACCTTTTCCCTCCCATTGCCTTTCGCGTCGAATTTCAAATATTTATATGTTCAACGTAGAAAAGTAGTAAAAGTAGGTAATGATAGTAACAATAATCTGTCCTAATTGAATCTAATTCTCTCAGTCGCCCGGTCCACGTATACATACCCCTCTCCCCTACAAATAAACAGATCAACAACAACAATCTCCACAATCTTCTCTTTATCTCTCCTCTTCAAGTATAAATGTACCTTCCGTCTCATTGGACGCATTTTTCGTGGTAGTTTCTTTAGTTAAATTTTATGTAATCTACTTAAGCTCTCTTTCCGTCTTAACACTCTTTTATTAAGTAAGTTAAATAATACTGACGTAAAATAAATTTTTGAACTTACCGTTTTAAATTATGAGACAGTATAACTCAACGTGATCGAAAGAGTTAATATTCTGGCATGCACAAGTTGCAACATATGTTTTTCTAGAATGATTGATCTGGGTACCGCCGCGGAGCTTACTCCCCACGTACGATGAGCCGATTTTTATACGTGCAACCTACTTAGTTACCTGAAACATTAGTTAGAACTAGCGGGAAGTTATGGTCGGTCTATTTTCAGCTCAATTATTACTAGTAGTTTCTTCTCCGAGGCGCAGATTTCAAATCGATCGTGGAATAAAGTCATTTAATTCTTAGACACTTCTGCGATATTTTACGATATGTACAAGTGCAATCGTTAACTAAAACTCGTCCGAGCTGCGCGCGTACAGATGGTGTGGAACTTATAGTACGCGAGTTTTTTTATTTCCTTCTGTTTTATGGAGTAATGGCGAAACTATCCTTCATTTTCCGCCGACTTGCGTCGCATAAAGCATTTGTTCCTTCGTTCCGGTTACAGTCAAAGTTAAAGTTTATTTTCTTTTATCGTAGCACACATGACAAAGCTTGATATCGCTGTTCATATTGATAAATGTGTACAGTAACATTTCTGACAAAGCTTCATACTAATTTGTATTTCAATAATATATAAATGTTGTAAATTAATATTGTTAATGAATAAATGTTATATAATGTTACGTTTATAACACGTATATTTATTAAAATTAAGTTCCTTATACACATTTGCTATGTTCAAAATTATTCGGACAACAAGAGAAACTCCCAAGCTCTATCTCTTTTCGACAAGAAAGGGAAAGCTTGAAATAATTAGTTGTGTTTGTATAATATGTATACATCCTTCTTTACACGTTTTTATATTTACTAACAGCTAAACGGAATTCAGAGGAAGGTTTAACGAGAAGAAAAGTGAAGAGCGACGAGGAAGGGCTGAAGAAGGAAGGAATAACGAGAGGGTGAGAATGAGAGAGACAATGGTTGAGAGAAAGTGAAAGGGGCGATGCTACGAAGAAA